CTTGCTTGCAAATGACAACCCTGACCAGAACAGGAGCTATGAGAGAAGACAGCAGTGGGGAAGGTGGGTTGGCAGTGGAGGAACTTCACCTTAGATAAGGTGATCCAGGAGAGCCAGGAAGTATCATTTGCCAGGAGACCTGAATGGTGAGAGGCAGAGTCAGTGGATGAAGAGTGGGGGGAGGGGCGTTTCAGGTAGAGGGAGCAGCATGGGCAAAGGCTTTGAGGTGAGCACTGAGAGGTCTGAATGGGCAAGCAAGTGGGCAAGTGAAGGGGGCAGTCAGTAGAAACCAGAGATCACCCAGGATCTTGAGGCCACGGTGAAGAATTTGGGTTACCTTCTCCCAACCAAAGCCATTTCTTATTCCAGACATCAGAGCCCTTGAAGGCTGAGGACAGGCCCAGGGTTTCCTTCTCTAGGATTCAGGATCAATCAAATCATGATTAGGCCATGATCAAGATAAAGATCTATACTTTGTAAACTCACCCATCTGTTGTTTTTCCCACCCATCTGTTTTGCTGGCTCTTGGGTTTCCCTAATTTCTGGTTGGGTTATTTCCTGAGCTTTTCAGTTACCTCTGATGAATCCCAACCCTACTCTGCTGAGTTGAAGGAAAATATTTTTGTCCACAGTTGGACCCAGGAATCCCAGTTGGAGAGGCTAGTCATCTGGGGAAGATTGGCAGCCACCCAGGACAGCATGGAATGAGCAGGTGGATCCCTTCAGTCTCATATAGTCCCACCTTCACTCAACAAACATGTGTTCAACATCCAGCATGTTCATGGACTCTTTGTGGGTTTCGGGCTATAAAGATCTTCCTTTTTAGGAATCAAGTTAGGTAGGATCGATGGCCCAGTCCAAAGGATATTGAATGGGAGCTCTTGTTACTTAGGAGTTGGCACTCTAGCTCATGGCCAAGCAAACATGTCCTATGTGCTCTGCATTCCAACTGGGAACCCGATACTTTCCCTCGAATGTTTGCTAACGGGGGCAGAGTTGACCATCTATCTTAGTCAAAACATCACATTCTTTTTCCTTGTCCATTTAATAATACTGATGAGGGAGGAGTTCTCTGGTTTTATTGAGGAATATATTGTATGTTATGGTAAAAGACAATCTTTCCCACTTTAATCGGGAGACTCTCATGGAGATTGAGGAGTGACTGCAGGAAAGGATGCTAGGATGCTGTTCCCCAGTGAGATCTACTTGGTTGTTGACTTGCTGATGTCCCCCGTGCCGATCTGAGCAGGGGAGAAGAGAGGTGGAGAGAGGAGTCACTATGGAGCAGCTGGCCAGAATGCGTGAACTTCTCTGGGTCAAGTGGAACCTGCAGTTAGCTGGGCTTTCTGATATTCCACCAAGCAGTCTTACTGCTGTGGACAAGGGTCTCCCCAGTGGCAGGAGCCTAGGTAGTGAGGCAAGGCAGGAGAGCTCAAACCCGAGCTGGATGTCCTCTGTCAGAGAACTGGGCAGTGGGGAAGCCTCCAAGAAACTTAACGTGCCCCAGGAAAAACCATATTTGGACACTTGCCCCTCTGGGTTGGCTAGGGAAGCAGTGTTGACAGGAGGGAGAGGGCTATGGCAGAGGGCTATTCCCACTTCCTCCTCTCAATGTCAGTCAATAAGGGGGAGGGTGCTGGGGCATGTCTCTCAACCAGACCATGCTTTCCCCCAAAACAAGACAAGACAAGACAAAACAAAACAAACAAAACAAAACAACCTTTTATCCAAACAGGCAGGGACCTGGCTCAAGTCAACCTTTGGATAAGTAAGGGAGAAGATAAAATGATATTTAAATTGAGTTTGAGAATAAAGCTCTCAAGGATGAAGGTTTAACAACAGAAAATGATCTAAAAATAATGCAATCTGCTGGAGATGTCATTAAGGGATGGAAAAGGGAGATTCAACACAACAGGGCTAAGGCTGAAATTAGGAGGGAAAGCTTCATTATTATGCCCCACCAAGTTGAGTCGCTGCTGGTTTCATGAGTAAACAGAATAATTGAAATGTAGTGTCTTGCATAGGTAAGCAGCTGCAGAAAGCTGAAAGGGCCCAGGGAGGTTGGCTGGTGGAGAGGGCTTTCCAAAGAAGGGGAACCTGAGCTGAGCCTTGAAGCCTTGAAGGACAAGAAGGAGTTGGTCTAGTAAAAGGAGAGTGGAGAAGAGCTTTACAGGCAGAGGGGACACCACAGTCCAGAGCGGCAAGTTGAAGGCAGGAAGGACAATTAGACATGCAGTCCATGGCCTCGGGCCCTGTGAGGGCTCTGGGGGAGTTGTTTCAAATCTGGGAGCAGCACGATGGGGTTTGCATAGTAGAACCTTCTGGTCGCCAGATTGTGGCAGTGCTATGGACTTAACCCTCACGCACACATCTTACCCGTTCCCCCAGCCCTATGACCCCCAACTTCCCCATGAAGGCCATTTTCTCGGAGATTCCAAAATCCTGGGTTCCCACTCTTTTACTGTCCTTTTCCCTTCTCCCCTCACTGAACCCTTCATAGTTCTCTTGGATAGATTCTGAAATTTTGCCATCCCCCAAAAATCATCTTCTCTCTTTCTTTCTCCGACACACTCTTCCCAGCCCAAGTAGATTCTATGCCTTCTTTGAGTCTGCGGCTGCCAGCACATGTTTTCTCGGGATATACATATCCTAAAATATCTTCCTTTTATTCTATCTGGTCTTCGCCCCATGGGGTAACCGAAGATTACTATTTATTCTTTCACACATTAATTTAAGCTGCTTTAATTGCCGCTCTGATATGTTTTATATAACATAATTCATGTTTTTAATTCTGTGTGCTTGCTTTCCAAGGCTGTTTTGTGAAGGGCCCAATTTTGAAATCAAGCAAATAAAGAATAAATAATGACTAAAGTTATAATGATGCCCCCGCACCCGAAGGGAATGAAAAGTGTGCTTGTTTTTTTTGAAGCGGCTTAAAAAAGGAAAATATATTTTAATATTCGCTTCATTCTGGGCCAGCTTGGGTGGCTTCATGAAATCCCCTGGACACTGATTTCAAGTGTTCCTCCACTGCTGGCATCTGACCACCAGCTTGAGGTCTGTGCTACCACCATCAGCTCTGCAGCTCCTGCCTCCATGTCCTTCCTGATGGAGGCTGTGATTAGAATAAGTTACTGAGCCCACTCACTCACTCACTCACTCTGACTGTGTATTGGTACTCTATTATGTGCCCAGGACTGGGATGGGTTTAGTCCTGTCTTCAAGGAACTCACAATCCAATGTGGGCAGGCAGGTGGAGTTATAGCCCAGTACCATAACACGGGAGAGGGGGGAAGGTGGGGCAGAGTATCTACCCATGTCTCAGGTTGTTAAGAGGAGATTTTAGAGGAGGCAATATTTAAATTGGCTTCAGGAAGGACAAGGGAAAGAAGAAAACAGCAAGACACAGTAAGAAAAGATAATTGTTTGTTTGGAAAATTGGGAGGTGAGCATGCTGAAGCCAGTATGCATGGGAGGACATGACTGGGAGTGAGTGGGGAGTGGGGACAGAGGTTAGGGCTCAGTGGAGAAGGGCTCGCTCTGCAAGAAGGAGTTAGGACTATCCTGAGGGTATAGGGGAGCCCAAAGAGGTTGTTTTTGTTTTAAACAAATATGTCTTTATTGGAATTGATCCAGGGAACTCTTGATGCACAGGTGGATGCTCAACCACTGAACCACACCAGCTGGGAAAGACCAAAATGGTTTTTAAGCAGTGCAGTGTCCTGATCAGATTAGATCTGGAGTTTATAAAAGGAATTGCTGTATAAATGGAGTGGGGGTGGGAGGAGGGGGGAGACGAAGAGAGGAAAGCTGTTAGAATTGCCTAGCACATAGCAGGGGCTCAATAATATTTATTGACTGAGTGAGGCTGTTGGGACAGTCCAGGTGAAAGATGACGAGCCTCTGAATGAGGGTGGTGGCAGAGGTGATGGAAAAGAGGATGGCTTCCGGAAGTAAAATCCACAGGGCACTTGGCATCAGAAGCCAGGAGAATGGGGTTAGCAGCCCTCTCCTCCAGCTCTGCACACCCTGGTCTTTTGGCCTGGTCCAGAAATTCAGAGCTTGAAGAATTATAACCTCAACCACTGTCTAGTTCTAGTTCTTCAGGTTTCATTGGGGACCTATCAGAGGCAGAGCCTAGAGTAGAACCCAGGAAATCAGGTGAGCTGCAGAGCAGAGACTGTTCACACTGATTCAGGAAAGGCTTGGAGGGCCAGACTGGAGAAAAAGGTGAGCACAAAGGTGTGTGTGAGTTTCTGCAGAACAAGAGGGTCGGAGTCTCCTAAGATTCTCAAGGGGTCCTAGTGCTTAGAGACAGAAACTGGGATGGAACAGAATCTGGTGATGGTGGTGGGGTGGCGCATGGATGCATGCATGGATGGATGGATGGGAGGCAGGGACGCTAGGCATATACGAGGGAATTTCCTTTGAAAGAGCCAAATTCTCAGAGGGAAACTCTTTTCCTTGAAACGCCTCCCCAGTCCTTCTCCCCACACGACAGCTGTGGCCTTCCCGTTTTGTTCTTGGGGATGGGGAGGGGGAACTTCCTTAGGCCTCTCCGCCTGCGGTGGGGACGCTTTCGGTTCTGCTGGGATTCCCGGTGGCGGCAGCGGGGTGAGAGCTGTGGGGGTCCCTGGGGTGTCTTCCCAGCACCTGTGGGGCTCCCCTCCCCTCGTTGGCCCCCTGGAAAACCTGCTGGCTCCTTCCTCTCTCCAGCGCGGCCTCCGTAGTCCCAGGGGCTCAGGAGGAAGGGCGCTCCCTGGGGCCCTCCGTGCCCCTTTCCCAGCGCGTCCTAAACTCCCGGGGGAAATTGAACCCGGGAAGATCCTGGGGAAATCCCAGACCTGCGGGGCGCCGGGACCCCGCCCTCCCCAGCGAGGCCGGCCGCGATTGGCCCTAGGGGGCCACGCCCCCTATGTGGGCGGGGCCACCACCCCGGCCCGGGAGCTACTAGACGTCGGGTCCCGCGCTGCCCTGCTCCGCCCGCTCCTGACCTCGCCATGGTCCGCCTGCCTCTGCAGAGTCTCCTCCTGGGCTGCTGGCTAGCCGCCGTGAGTTGGATGTCTGTTCCGACCCTACGGGCGGCGGGGACGGGGCGGGGGGGAGTTTGGGGTTTGTGAGGGGAATGGGAAGAGCAGCAATACTTCGGGGGAGGGATCTTCCCACCTGATGTTGTTTAGGACAGAAGGGTGGGCGGAAGCTGGTTTGGCTTCTCAGGAGAAGACACCCAATTTTGGCTCCCTGGAGTCCTGGCTGCATTAGGCGGGCAGCCTCTCTCTCCTCCCAGGTTGGGGTTCCAGGGAGCCCACAGGGGGCGCGGCGTGGGCGCACTGCAGGAAGCGTGCCTGGACAGCGTGGATGGGGTTGCGGGTTTGGGGAGCCTCCAGCCTGCATCAGGAAAGGCGGGCGTCTGGTCTGCCTCCAGGGCCGGCCAGTAGCGGGAAGGAAGGCGGGCCGAAGGAAGGGGAGGGTCCGGCTGGTTTCCTGTCCCTTCGCGTGTGGACAGATGCCAGCTCTTAGAGTGGTTATCATCTCCCTGCCAGCGGGCAGCCTTCTTCCAGGGCATCTTGTGGGCACAGGGGGTGATCCAACCTAGGAGGAACGCTCAAGGCCATGTCTCCGCATCCCGAGTTCAAGATGACCTAGGGGACTTGTGGGGGAGATGAACAGTTCAGGGGACCCAAGAAAGGGCTTCTCTGGGCACAGCTATGCCCAGTCAAGCATATCTCCGGGATTTTCAGAAGCCCGCATTTGTCTCACTTTTTGTCTAAGTGTATTTTTGTAGTTCCTCATTCTAGAGGCAGGGAATCCCCCAAGTACCTTACCCTCTCATCCCAACCCCTCTGGTCTCCCCCTGCTCTCAGGGGCTGTAGTTTCTGGTGAAGTCTGAGCAGGAATGAGCCACGGAGTGGCTGGTAAGGGAAGAGCCATTGGGGAAGCTACTTTGGTCCCAAAACTCCCAGTGAGAAAGGAGCATGGGGCAGGGCGGGCGGGGCTGGAAAGAAGAGAGGCTGTGTAGGAGGGGAGGGAGTGAAGCTGGTTTGGCTTCTCAGGAGAAGACTCCCAATTTTGGCTCCAGGTCGAGACTGGGCTGTGACAACTCGAATGGCAGCGGCTACTTATCGAGAGCTTCCTGTGTGCCAGGCTCTGAGGAACATGCTTTCCATGTGCTCTCTGCCTGGTTTAACTCCCTATTTCTTTTAACGAGGACCCAGGCTCAGAGAGAAGGAGTGTCTTGGCAAACTTCTCAGAGCTAGGCTATAAACCTGGATATACATCTACCTCTGCCTGGGCCTGAGCCTGCCTCTCAGGTGGTGAGGGTGTCCCAGCCTTGGTCCCGAGTGCCTTTGTATCAGAAGGACTGGAGCTATGTGGTGGGAGCTGGGGCCTGAGCACCTTTCAAAGGAGGAACCGTATTTCTCATGTGTCTGAGAATGGCACGACGGACTCTCATGGCTCTGGGGCGTGGGGGAAGGTCCTCGGTGTTGCAGGGAGACCATCACAGGTGAATGTTGGGGCGTGATGATGGGGGCAGCAGCCTTTTCTGGTTCTGACCCCGCTTGCGGTAAGACACATTTCTGTAAGCAATGGCTGACCGAGAGCCACCCATTAGGCAGGATCCTTAACAGCTAGCCATTGAATCAGGGCACTGGACAGTCAAGCAGATCCTCACAAATGTACGATAGTGAAAACTGCGGTTTAATGAGCACCTACTATGTTCTAGTCCCGGTGCCAGGCTACACACAAATGCTCGTTCTCATCTTTACAACCTGAACTGTGGGGCATGTGTTATCACCCCCATCTTAGGGAGGAAGAGAAGCAAATAGCTAGTAAGCGTGGCAAAGACAAAGAGCCTTAAGCTGATTGTCGCTCGAACCTGTGCCCTTTTCACCGCTGTTCCCAAAGCGTGGGGTGATTGTGGGGAGCACACGCACACAGAACTCAACAGCAGAGATGCGCATTACAGTTGTTTTAAATCCTTTGATTTTTTTTTTCCTTGAAGGAGGAAGTCTCTGGAACTAGCATATAGTTAATTAATACTTCCCCAGTGCTTGCAAATCCTCCTTTTAAAACAAAAATGTAGAGCAGGCCTGGGGTGGAGGGCATCGGCAAGCAAAGCAATCAGCTTGTGGTTCATAACATTGTTTAGTTGCTGTTGAATTTTATTTTTAGGGTTACTGTTACCTTTTATTTATGAAGCACGAAACTGGTTCTCTCTCATGGCAATAATAGGAGGTTTACATCGAAAAGAAATGTATTTGATTTAGTGAGAAGTAATTCATAGCATGGGTTGTACCTGGAAATAGTAAAAGTGCGGGTGAGAGCCAAGCTGATGGAGAGAGGGAGAGGACTGAGATCTGCTTTCTCACTCAGATGCTATCAATGTGAAACCTTGTGATTTCAGAGAAAAAGGAAGAGAGAGATAGAAACAGCAATAATGAGAACCATCCATCGGCTGCCTCCTGCATGCCCCCTATCAGGGATCAACCCTGAAACCTGGGCTTGTTCCCTGAACAAGAATCGAACCCCTGACCCTCTGGTTCATAGGTCAATGCTAATCACTGACCCATACCAGCCGGGCTAGTCTGCCCATTTGTAAAGTGAGAGTGTTGGATTTTTATCTTCCCAGCTTCACAAATTTCTGGCATTTCATGTGGGAGAGCTTAGAGGAGGAAAACACGATGAGGCTTGGAGAGGGAAAGGGGTGGGGAGAGAAGAATAATAGAAGGAAGCAGGCCAGATGCTAAATATAGTCCCACCTGAGGCCTAGGACCAGCTGAAGCCTCCCATCCCTGGGCTCCAGGGGAGGTCCTGGGGCCTTCACGTGCTTTTGAATCTTTGTGAAGAGGAAAGTGCCAGGAGTCCAGACAAAAGGAAGATCTGTGTAGTTCCGAGAGGATTGTGAGGTTCAAGCACAGCCGCTTTGTAAAGGACCAGCATGATTCTCTGGGTGCTTTTACCGTCGCATCCGTTGGCAGTTTAGTTAAAAATAAGCATGCCAACGAGGAGGCAGGCCCCACTGTTCTGCTTTGGATTTCCACCTCCGCTCTAACCCCTCTCCGGGCTGATTGTCACCTTCCTGCCAAGGCGGCTGCAGCAGAGAGTTCCAGATCCCTTCACATGGCCCAATTCTGCTTTTAGGTCCACCCAGAACCACCTACTGCATGCAGTGGAAAGCAATACCTCGTAAAAGACCAGTGCTGTAATTTGTGCCCGCCAGGTGAGACGCCTACCTCCAGCCTCCTCGTGGGACCCCTTGTGGTTTGCTGGCAGATGCAGCTTCCATAAACCATCTGGGAACTCGAGTCTCAAATGACCCCTGGGATTTCCCATCCCTGCCCTGCTTGTCAGAATGTCCCTACTTGGGACTTAGGTTCCTGTATTTTCCTTGGTCCTCACACCCGCCCCCTGACCTGACTCTGAAGGCTGGAAGGGCCTGAGACGGTCACCTTTGAATCCTCTGCCCTAAAGCCCAGCCTGATCCGTGTTTTGGTGAGTGTCTGACTCCCAGAGTTGGTCAGAGCTGCCTCATTTCCTGATGCTTTTTCCAGGACATAAACTGGTGAGTGACTGCACGGACTTGACTGACACGGAATGCGTCCCTTGCAGTGAAGGTGAATTCATGGCGACCTGGAGCAGCGAGAGGCACTGCCACCCGCACAGTTACTGCGAACCAAGTGTGTGGGCTGTGGGGAACCGGTGCTTGGGAAGGGGGCTGATCTTCCAACTCACTCTTTTTTTAAAAAAAATTAATATATTTTTATTGATTTCAGTGAGGAAGGGTGAGGGAGAGAGAGAGAGAAATAGCAGGGGTGAGAGAGAAAATCATTGATCGGCTGCCTCCAGCACTCACCCTACTGGGAATTGAGCCTGCAACCCAGGCACGTGCCCTTGACCGGAATCGAACCTGGGACTCTTCAGTCCGCAGGCCAATGCTCTGTCCACTGAGCCAAACCAGCTAGGACTTCCAGCTCATTCTTGACAATGCAGCCATTCCTTTCCCCCCCCCCCCCCCCCCAATAGACAGCCAGGGTCTGTTTGGATTGATTGGAGTCCAGGCTGTACTAAATAATTTGATTGCTATCCCTACTTGAAAGAGAGTCTAAGATGAAAAACAAAAGAGCAGGAAGCGCGTGAGGAGTGGGGCTCAGAGAGTCCCCAGCAAGGGTCCCCATCCTTCCCACCCATCTTTGTGCAGATGCAGGACTCCTGGTCCAGAGTAAAGGCACTTTGGAAACAGACACGAGTTGCGTGTGCGATAAAGGCCTACACTGTGTCAACGAGGCCTGTGACCACTGCATCCCACACATCCCTTGCCCCCCTGGCTTTGGGGTCAAGGAGATGGGTAAGTGGCTTGTCTGAGAATCAGCTCTGGAGGCAGGCGGGAAGAGTTGAGGGCTTAAGGGAAGGTGCTGGGCAATGGGCACTCAGCCCAGAGGTGGAGGGAGTGGAGACTACAACCTGCATGTCTCCTGGAGTGAGCAGGAAACGAACCCTCTCCTTCCAGCTCCTGCCAGGGTATCTGCCTTTGGGGTGGGGGGCAGTGTGAGAAGCCTCCCTAGGACTGCAGTGACGGTGGTGGAGGCTCTACGCTGGGGAAGAGGCTTAAAGCAGGGAGACCGAGAGCCAGACAGGTAGTCCATTGTGATGATGAATGGCCCCTCCTCCCTCCCAGCTACAGGGGTTTCTGATACCATCTGCGAGCCCTGCCTGGTTGGCTTCTTCTCCAATGTGTCATCCGCCGAGGAGAAGTGCCATCCTTGGACGAGGTATAAGAACTCATCCCTGGCGTTTTCTGTCCCAAGAGGGACATGGGATCTGCTTCCATCCTATCCTGCTATCTACCCTTCAGTCCACACACACTACGTATGTGTAAAACATCAGAGTGACCTTATGGACAACTGGCCAAGTGGGCACTTTTTAGCATTTTCTTGTCGGTTGGCGGTAACAGACAATGTTGATCTCTCCAACTTGGTGAAACTCTCTTTTCTTACCCAAGAAAAGAGAGGTGCATGGTGACACCTCTCCTCCTTTCCTTCTCCCTCCCCTGGTTCTCCTTAACTGGCTTCTTAGGCCTTTGTTCTGCTCTGCTTTTTAATCACTTTGCCTGCCTCCCCTGGACCACCCCATCCATATTCATGGCTTCGAGCTACCATCTCTCTCGGGTGGTTTTCCATCAACTTCTCTTGTCTAGGTTTGTCTCCAGACTGTCACATCCAATGGCTGAGGGTACACCTCCATGCAGGGGACCCACAGGCACCAAATGGGCTCACCTTCCTGCTCCTCTCACCCTCGGTGAAAGCCACCACCACCTCTGGGCACTTGTCCCATGGTCCCCCTCCCCCCCACTTCCAAATCAGTCACCTCCTTGCCTTCCAGATGTTTTGGAAGACTCCTCCTGTTCACTATCTCTGTGTTGCCATTTTAACCTGGGCCTCATCGCTGTGGGCTGAATGGTGCCTTAGCCTCCTCATTGACCTCCCCACCTCTAGATTCCCCTTTTCATCTGCTTCTCCCTTCACTTGCCAACGTGTGCTTTTCTGCAGTTCATTTTAGATCAATAGTACTCCTTATTTACAATGTTTCACGGCTCTCTGGGCCTTTAGGTCAAAACCCAGACTCTTTTGCATGGCTTCTGACCTTCCTGCTCCATATCTTGACCTCTTCCCACATCCTGCTACTTGTAATCTCCTCAACATACCGTTCATGCTCTCACATCAGACTCTTCTGCCTGGAATACACTTTAACACATGCCCCATTAACTTTTTACATTTAATTTTAAAAAATGGGTAAGATAGGCACCTCAGACAGAAGGTGCAGAAGGGCCTACAGCGATGTCTCCCTTTCACCCCGTCCCTCAGCCACCCAGTGCTTCTTGGAGGCAGATACTGTTCCTTGCATGTCCTCCCACAAACACACAAACACATACGTGCTCATGTGCAAATGCTTATTGTCCATACGCATTGTAGCATCTCGTATATACTTGGTCATTTGTTTGCTGTCTGCCTTTCTCTAATAGATCGCAAACTCCTTAAATGTAGAGATGTGGCTGCTCTCCTTTCCTTCCACTGATATATCCCTTATGCGTAGACCCGTGCCTAGAACATAGTAGGTGCTCAATACATTTGTACTGGTATGTTGACTGACGAACGGTGGCACGTTGGGGCAGTAGAATCAGCACTGCTGCTTAGGAAGGGCGTGGCCCTGTGTCAGTGTGTGACCCTCATCTCTCTGAGCCTCAGGGTCCTCAGCTGGAAGTTGGGAATGACCTTTGTCTCACGAGGCTTGAGGGAAAGACCTGTAGAAGTGTTTTGTGAGCTCATAAACTCGCTCCTCATGTATATGCTTTCTTTGAAGTGCCTTTCTCTTTCCCCCACTTGAGATGCTTTTTTTCTCTGTGACGTCCTTCTCCGACCATTCCTCCTCCCCCTCCTCCTCCTCCTCCTCCTCCTCCTCCTCCCGCTCTTCCTCCTCTTCCTCCGAACATGTTGGACCTGCTCTTCTGTATCTGGATTCCTTCATTGGCCTCCTGGCTGGCCACTTCTCTGATTTCTCCTGTGAGCTCTCTGGCCAGCTGAGTCCTCCCGTGACTTAAGTCATCTGATTAGATGCTGATATGACTCACAGCTTCGGTTGAAACCTTCCTCGCTGACTAGCAATGATATGATTCTATCAGTGATCTGGTTCTAAAGACACAGCTTTTCCATGGTTCCATAACGCATCTGGCATGTCACCCACCTAATCTCTGTATCACATTGTCCTGCTCAGTGGGAATGTACTGCTACTGTAAGTTAGGCCGACTCAGACCTAACTTCTCCAGGGGAGTCTTTCTGGACGACCCTTAAACCCGAGGTTCTCAACTAAGCAATTTTGACAATATCTGGAGCCGAGATTGGGAAGGGGGATGCCACTGATATCTAGTGGGTGGAGGCCAGAAATGCCGTTACACATCCTACAGTGCGCAGGACAGACCCCATTACAGAGTCATGTGGCCCAAAATGTCAGTGGGGCCGACAAGGTAGAGAAGCCTTGTTGTAAACCAAATGGATCATCTCTCCATTCCTGCCATTGCCTATTCCATTTCCTCTTCTCTGAACAATTCCCAGTTCACTTTAGCCTATATCACAAGGTTTGGCACTCATTAGACACTCCAAATATTACCCCTTCAAGATGCATAATAATCTTTCCTCGGGCCTCACGCATGCATAGAACAGAGTTTGCATTGTAACCAGCACAGGAGGGTGCATAACATAGGTGCTGAGTGAACCTGGACTTGTTGGCTGTTGATGGTCTCCCTTTGGGTTTGGAAATCTTATGGTTGGGAAACTTAATGTCTCATTCTCTCTCTCTTTTTTAAAAGGTTTTTTGAATAATTTATTTTCTATTTTTAGGGCAAACTCAGTAATGTTTTTAGAAAAAGCACATGATACATGATATGACATACATTATTTAGCCTTGCTTTTGAAGTCTGAGTTGATGGACTTGTTTTCAAGTTATAATCGACAAATGATTTGCTCTTTATACTTATAATCTATGTTTATAAATGCTTATATAATTATTCTGTATATATTAAAATATCATTCTCTCTCTCTCTCTCTCTCTCTCTCTCTCTCTCTCTCTCTCTCTCATTCTCTGTATGTATGTGTGTCCACACAGCTGTGAGATCAAAGGCCTGGTGGAGATTCGGGCAGGGACTAACAAGACAGATGCTGTCTGTGGTGAGTCCTGGAGAATGGGTCCTGGTGGCAGACTAGGGAGGTAGGGAAATAATAGTGGAGCCTGAGGCTTACAGAGACAATGAGTGGGAGGGGGTTGGCCTACAGCACAGATCACAGACTCAAATACCTACAGGGACTAGGCAGGTCATATTAATAAGTGAAAAAGGTCAGAGGTGAGAAAAATGCACTCTTTGCTTTTTTTTTTTTTTTTTTTTTTTTAAACATTCATCTTCCTTTTGGCAGGGCTGGGTGAGTGAGGCATTTACCTTGGACACATTATTTAAAGGGGTGCCTAAAAAATGCAGTAATCAAGATAAATAACATTTTTTTTGTGTGTGAATCCTCATTCAAGGGTATTTTTCCATTGATTTTTAGAGAGAGTGGAAGGGAGGGGGAGAGACACACAGAGAGAAACATCGATGTGAGAGAGACACATCGATTGGTTGCCTCCCGCACACGCCTCGACTGAGGCCAAGGACTGAGCCTGCAACTGAGGTATGTGCCCTTGACCAAATCAAACCTGGGACTCTTCAGTTTGCAGACCATGCTCTGTCCATTGAACCCATCCAGCTAGGGCAAGATAAGCAATATCTTGTAATATTGAAAAAAAAAAGCCAACACAAAACAAAATCCATAATGAACAAACTATAAAATTTTAACGAATGCTGTGGTCCAACCTTGCATTTGCATGACCCTGCCTGACTTGCCTGGGCCTAATTTTGGCCCTGGCTTAAAAAAAAAACCAACAAAAAAAACCTTTATTAAAAAAACCAGGCAACCAACCTGTGGGCCATAATTTGGTGATTTGATTTTTAAAAACATGACATTAAAATATTACTTATCTTGATTATTGAATGTTTTTTTTCCTTCTTTTTGTATCCCTTTAAATTTTGTCCCAAGGTGTGTGCCTCACCCTAGTCCCTGCCCTGACTTCTAGTCTTTCTTTCACTTTCTCTCATTTGTAATGGAAATTTAGGTACAAGAAACACTTTAATTTCTCCTCTATTCTTCCATAGCACAGGCAACAGTGCAGACATAAAGGAGGACGAGGATGAGGACACAGGTCCTCAGCACTGGGCCCAGAGTGGGGAGGGAGGGGGAGTATGGTGAGCAGTGGAGAGCCCCAGCACTCAGTTCTGGTCAGTGAGTGCTGAGCGTTGGGGGGTTCGGGGGTGGGGGGAGTGGCAGCTGGTCCAATGGGGCTAGATTTCCACCCTTCTAAGAGAAACCAGATATCTAGATTTTAAATGTGCAATCGCCCCCCAATTAAAATGTTTAACATAATTTAAAGATGTGCTGGTCACACTAAAGACCTCTGCTGGCCACTTTCCCCCGGGGCCCCCTGTTGGCAGCCTCCCAGTAGATGAGCTCAGCCACAGGAGGATGTAGAGTCCGGGAGGGCCCAGCAGCTTTGGGCATGGGGGTGGGAACAGTCTCCATCTCTCCAGACACCAAGCATCGGCAGAGATTCCTGGTGGTGATCCCCATCGCAGCCGTCCTGGTGACTCTCCTGCTGGTGTCAGCCTGCTTCTGTGAGTCTCCGGGGAGGTGATGGGAAGGCCGGGAGGGAGGCGAAGGTCAGGTAGACCTGGCTGCCTGTTTCCTTATCTGGCCTCTCCACTAAGTCCCCACCCCTTTATTTTTTTCTCTCTAGGGAAGTTCCCCATCAAGGTAGGTTGCCCCCGGGCACTGGCTCTGAATTTGGCAAGCTGGAAAGAAGATGGACTCGCTGTTGCCTTTATGGCAATAAAACTGACGCGGGGACTGTCCTGTGGCCAGTGGTGTGACAGCAGAACTGGCTACTCTGCCTCTTGACCCCCCAGTCCCATTCCTGGGATCCAGAGCTCCTCCCATCCCCTCCCTCAGCGCCAGCCTTTGTTATCCCCTGAGCTCACGTCTCCACAGAGCTGCCCTGGCGCCAAAAAGCCAATGGTGTCATTTGCTGTGCTTTCCTGGCATCCAATTCGTGGGGAACCATTTTGGGGCCTTGGTGCAGGCCCTGGGCCAGACCGAAGGGGCACCTCCTGGAACCCACTGGAAGCTTCTTGACACCTTCAGTGTGACCAGCAGGGGGCAGGAGGCGCCCATGGAACCCGCCTTGAGTGGGAAAGCAGGGGAGAGGGCCTGGGGAGCATCCCCTCCGAGGGGAGAGCTCCTCAGGGGTGTTGCTGAGGATAACCTCACCCATTGGCTCACCAGGCCGGCCGCCCCCGCCCTAAGGACCCCGAGGGCAAAGGGCAAGTTCCCGTGGAGATGGAGTACCTTCCTGGCACCTGCCCCGTGCAGGAGACCTTGCACTGGTGCCAGCCGGTGGCGCAGGAGGACGGCAAAGAGAGCCGCATCTCCGTGCAGGAGAGACAGTGAGGCTGCGCGTGCCCGGGAGCACGGCAGCAGATGGACAAACGTGACGTGGCCGCGGAGCCTGGAGCTGCAGCTGCGATGAGGGCGAGGGGCTGGCGCCGGGCACGGCCCCCTCTGCCTGCACAGTTCACTCAGGGGAACCCCGTACTCCAGCCAGGAGCCCGCTCAGTCTCCCTACTTGCTTTTAAAGATGGAAGCAAGACTTTTTTTGGGGGGAGGAAGAAAGGGGGGAGAAAGGGAGGGCATCTAGTAACATCATCGAACCCTCCAGCCCAGCCGGCCCGGGGCCCACGTGGTCTGTATAGGCTCAGGGGACATCTACGTGAAGATCACCGCAGGGTCGTTTGGGACTGGGAACAACTGGAAGCAGCTTAACTGTCCACCACCAGGGGGCTGGCTAAATAAAATGGTAATATATTTATGTAACAGCATCTCAAAGACACTGTCATGGAAAAAAAGCAGGCTGCAGAATGACGGGCATGGAATTTTTTTTTTTTTTTTTAAAGCACATACCCCTAAGCAATAGGACCCATCACGTGTGGGTATGTGTCCAGACAATATAGGCCGTTGATGCAGGTATAACACGGTTCTGGAAGGATGCAGCTCGCAGTTGTGATGTCCGGGTTGGGGAAGAAGGCTCTGGGGGAGGGCTGGTAAAGAAGATCTGACTTTTTCCGGAGGCCTTATCCCTCCCCGCTCCCCTGAAAAGGAGAGTGAATTCACATACTGCTTATGTAATTGAAGTCACCAAACGTGAAAAAAAACAAACCGGGGGTGGACACGCTGGGTGACATGAGCGGCTACGTTTGCTGTCAGTCTCACAGAACGAGGGCACGTTCGGAGGCTGAAGAAGCATGTCCCCAGGCTGCCCCACTCTCCAGATGTGCTCCCATTTGGCACCGTGTTTGCAAAGGATTCTCTCCATTTCATTCACGTGCACAGAACAGCCTTGGGGACAGGCAGGGCTCGCCCTCCCTCCCTCTTGAACAGGTGGGAACAGAGGCCCAGAGAGAGCAAACACCTTGCACAGCAGTTTGTGGTGGTGCTGCTCAGAGCTCCCCGCTTCTGGTCCCGCACTGCTTCTCCCAGACCTGCCTGGTCTCTGGAACCCAGGTCTGTGGCTCCTTCCCAGGGAGGTCTTGGGCCTCCCACCTCCTCCTGACCTCCCTCCCAACGGCTACAGGAGCTGTGCTTCTCAGTCAGATGGCACCCCTTCCCCCAGCAGCATCTTAGGATAAAAATAAACACCCTGTTCTCTTTTCTTGCTGTGCCAACTGAGGGGGAGCCTGGCCAGGAGGAGCAGCAGATGGAGTGGGAGCAGAGGGGAGGGGATGGAAGGGGAGCGGCGGGAGGGAAGGAAGGGTGTAGGACAAGGAGGAGAAGGAAGAGCAATGTAAAGCCCTGGCACAAGGATTGAGATTCCCGATGTGGATGAGGCCAGGCTGGTTTAACGCCGAGATTGCCCCCACCCCCCTAAGAAGCTGATTTGATTTCCCCAATGTGTCCTATTGCCTGGAGGGCGGGGGTGGAGAGGGCTTGTCCCCAAGGAAGGCTGTGGGGGCAGCTTGGGATCCAGAGAGGGCACCTGGCTTGGCAGGCTTCCCGGGAGAGCTCCGAGAACCATTTGGAGGCACCAGGTGGAGAGTTTGGTTTAGAAAGTGGAGCAAAGTGGCGGTGCCATGGGGTGGGGACCTCACCCTCGTCCCCTACCTTGAGTCCAAACACTAGCGTTCTTTCTGTGCACTGACAGCGTGGAGGACAGAGACAAAAGACCCCCACCTGTGCCACCACTCATCGGTGGGTCGCTTTTCATCTCTTAGTATCTCAGGTTCCCCGTCGGCCAAATGGAGACAGTGCTGTCTGCCTCTGGGCCGGAGTTCTCAGACTGGAGCACGTATCAGAGTCACCAGAGAAGACAGATTGCTGGGCCCCGCAGCCAGGGTTTCTGATGGAATGGGTCTGGGGTAGAGCTCAAGGGTTTGCATTTCTAACCGGTGTCCCAGGTGATGCTGCCGCCGCCGGCCCAGGGGCCGCACTTGAAGAACTTGCAGTTGCCATTCAGAGTTGGAGATCAGCAGTTGGTTTTCTATTCCAAGCACGTGGGTCATCTGCCTCGGGGCTTTTCCTGGTCTCAAAAACATGGCTGAGGGAGGTGCAGGGCAGGTCAGGTATGCCCGGGGAGTTAATATCACGGGGCACTGAAAGCTGGAGGGTGAGGGACCCAGCCTCCTTGCCCCGAGGAGGGACAGACCTGACGTGTGGTCTGCAGTGTCTCTTGGCTTCCCTAGAGGGATGGAGCCCCAGCTACCCCTCTGCACTGGCTTCCTTCCTTTCCTGGTCTCCTGTCCCCAGCCCCACTAGTGTTGTCGGGGTTCAGCTCCTGAATACACAACCTGCATTCCTTCCTCGTCACCGATTCTGCTTCTGGGAGAAGCCCCCCTCAGAGCCAGCAGAGCGCACAACTTAAGAAAGTATCCTTTTGCTGAAACCGGTTTGGCTCAGTGGATAGAGCCTGCAGACTGAAGAGTCCCGGGTTTGATTCCAGTAAAGGGCATGTCCCTTGGTTGTGGGTACATCCCCAGTGGGGGGTGTGCAGGAACCAGCTGATAGATGTTTCTCTCTCATTAATGTTTCTAACTCTCTATCACTCTCCTCTCTGTTAAAAAATCAATAAAAATATATTTTAAAAAAGTATGCTTTTGTACAGCAGCCCTCCTTATCTGTGGCTTCGGTTACCTGTGGCATCTGTGGTCCAAACATTTAAAAATAGAAAATTCCAGAAGTGAACAATTCATACGTTTTAAATTGCGTGTTGTCCTGAGCATTGTGATGAAACCTTGCGCTGTCTGCTTCATTCCTCCGGGGACATGAATCATCCCTCTGTCCAGCACACTCATCCTGTGGACGCTCTCCGCGCGTTCGTCAGAAGCTGTCTCCGTTATCAGATCCATTATCAGAGAGAGAGGGAGGGAGATTACATTCACATGACTTTTATTACAGTAGGTTGTTAAAATTGTTCCATTTTATTAGTAGTGATTGTGGTTGATCTCTTACTGTGCCTGACTATAAATTAAATTTTATCACAGGCATATATATGTCTATATATAGGAAAGAAAATAGTAGGTAGAACATATAGGGTTTGGTCCTACCTGTGGTTTCAGGAGTCCCCTGAGGGTTTGGAGTGTGTCCCCTGTGGTAAGGGGGTCTGCTGTATATCTTGGGGTCTCTGACAAAAGGACAGGGTTGACCTTCCTTTTGTTAATCCTCACCTGAGGATATTTTTTTGAAATTTATTTTTAGAGAGAGTGGAAGGGAGGGGGAGAGCCAGAAACACTGATGTGAGAGAGACATACTGGTTGGTTGCCTCCCTCATGTGCCCAGACAGAGGCAGGGGATGAAGCCTGCCATGGAGGTACCTGCCCTTGACCGGAACCAAATCCGGGACCCTGCAGTCGGCAGGCTGACACTCTAACCATTGAGCATCGGGCCTGGGTGGGATGGGGCTGATCTTCCTGGCAGCTGTAGCTAGTTCTGTGTTGTAAGTGGAATCAGCCAGGGTTCTGTGACCCTGGGAAAGTTACTCTTTGGTTCTGGGTCGTCCCCTCCCCACCAACCTTCCACTCCAGGTGTGTAATGGAGGCCTGGGGCCCTAGGAGGGCTAAGGGTCTTGCCGATTCTACAAATAAGTGTAAGAGGATAAAACCCACTAGGGTCCTGAGTGGAGGGTAGGTGTGAGGCACGCTGCATCCAGAGGGTGGCGCCAAAGTAACATCTGAAGACCCAGGTGGCTGGCTTTGCCAGCTCTCACTGCGCATCCTGCCCTTACGGGGAGACACACACTGGTCTGGCCTGCTGCCGCCTGTATTCTGCAAACGCATTCGTTCCCCAGGTCGGGTCTGCCTGGCCACTGCTTCCTTCATCTAGCAGCATCAACTGCATTGCTACCGTGGTCCCATCCTGAGCGAGGGCTGTGCACAGGTGCACTGAGAGTGTGCACAGACGGGTGTTCATCATTGCTGGGCACGTGCTCAGAACTTGCTCTGTGTTGTGTTAGTCCACAGCACAACCCTACACGAGGCACAGTCTCTTATGTCACCCATCTCACAGATCGGGCTCAGAGGCTAAATGGCTTGCCAGGCCTGAGGACTAAGAGCTGGGATTTGGACCCAATTGGTTGACCTAAAAACCTGGGTTTTTTTTACCCATTTAGGGTGTAGAGAAACAGGTCCATGTTAAGGTGCCTTTAAAAGACAGCATGACTGTCCAGGACAGCAGGAGACCCAGAGCAGGAGCAGCTAACCTTTAGGGCAAAAAACTCTCACACACAGGGCCGGAGAGTGAGGCAGGCCCGGCTGCCCGACAGAGACGCTGTGGCAAGACAGAGAGGCTCTGCTCACCTCTGGGGCGGCATCCATCAGTCCCTTCCAATGGTTGCTCTACAGCAGTGTTTCCCAAAGTGTGGTACGCGTACCCCCAGGGGTACGGGAAGAGTTTGGTGGGGGTATGCGTTGCACTGGAGTTTGGTGGGTATATGCACTGCACCATGCTTAACTGCGCCTAATTCTACGTTCTCATGAGTATGCGAGGTACTCAGCATTACGAAAATTATAGAAGGGGTACACATATGTCAAAAGTTTGGGAAACACTGCTCAATAGGAATGTTGCTCGGAACCCAGATTTCCAAGACAAACCACCCAATATCTCAATGCCACCAATTCCAAAAATTAAAAAATTTTGCCTCAGAAAGCATGTCAGAGAGGCTTGGAATTAAAAGAGACTGGGGCCTGGCTGGTATGGCTCAGTGGCTGAGCATTGACCTAGGAACCAAGAGGTCTCCGGTTTGATTCCCGGTTAGGGCACATAATTCCTGTCAGGGCACATGCCTGGGTTGTGGGCTCTATCCCCAGCGAGATCCTTGTAGGAGGCAGCCAATCGATGACTTCTTCTCTCATCGATGTTTCTTTCCATCGCTCTCTAAAATCAATAAAAATTATTAAAAAAAA